TTCACTGAATTAACTTGCGATTGATTATTTGTCATAGGGGCTTTGACCCCTTTGCAGGTTCTACATTAATCAGTGGAATTGGACCTTTATTTTAAATAACTACAGATACAGTAGATAGGCATATCGCTTTTATATGGGGTCAGTAGAAATCAAGTAAATTATTTTATTGAAATTTTTTTAAAACTTTAATACTTAATTTCTATTGATTCACCCCATATAGTGACAGTAAGAGAGAAATAAAATACAATCTCTATAGGGCTACGTATAGAAAAACAAATTACTTTAATGTCACTTCGAATATTATTCCCGTAAAAAAATAATTTTTTATTGCGGAAAAAAAATTATAGTATAATACTGTAGTTCAAAATCATTGACTTTGTGTTTTCTAAAGAAAAAAAAGCTTTTAAAAACATTTTCGGATCTTTATTTGAAGCAAAGTTATTTATTGCAAAAATTTTAACGAAGTTCTCATAAGCACTCTAATTTCGAATACTGATTCGGGAGCAAATTAGCTCCAGCTATAACTTTATATAATTTAAATTGAATAATGAGAAGTTATTGTATAATATTATATCAAGTTCAGGAAGCTAGAGCTTGGCTTCACTCTCCGGCTCCTTTATTTTCAATGGGATTTCTATCCTTTTATAATTTTATTCTTTCAATAAGTAACACTTATTTTTTGCGCTGCTAAAGGCATCTCCGGGCAAATTGATATATGATCCATTCGTAGGCACAGGTAGCTTTCTCTTGACATGTGCACACTTTGGCGCGTTCACTATAGGGTCAGACATTGATGGACGACAAATTCGTGGACAAGGTTTTTCTTTTTACTTAATTTTATTTTATTTCTATTAATACCTTTCTTATATGTCCTATTATTACAACGTAAATTATGTAGCGAATAAATCTATAAAATCTAATATAGATCAATATAATTTAAGTGACAAAGTCTTGGATACCTTAGTCTTTGACATATGTCATCATCCGTGGCGAGAAAATCTCTGGTTTGATGCAATTGTGACCGATCGTGAGTGATTATTTAATCGTAATTTATTATTATACTTACATTATTTAGTGTTCAACCTAAAATTTTTATCGTGATAGCACCATATGGCGTTAGAGCAGGCGCAAAAACACTGGGAAGAAAAGATCCGACAAGACGACCTCGAATAGTAGATGGTGTACCCGCTCACAAGTATGTTATGAATATCAATTTTATTTGCAACTAAAGTCTTACAATTATTATTTATTTTAAAAAAGACGCGAAAATTATTATCCACCAACAAAGCCATATGAAATGTCTGAAGTGCTTATAGATCTCTTGGAATTTGCTGCACGATATTTAGTAGTTGGTGGTCGTTTGGTGTATTGGTTACCAACTATCGTTGATGAGTGCGTTATTTTTCTATTATTTGGTGTATTACGACTAATTCAAATATCAATTTATTATTATTATTATTGTTGTTGTTAAAAATAGGTATTTAAGCACAGATATACCTGTACATCCGTGCATGATCCTGATTTCTAACAGTGAGCAAAATTTTGGGCAATGGAGTAGACGATTAGTTACTATGGAAAAATTTAAAGAGAACGTCGAAGGTGAACATGCAATTGTGAACAATGCAAAAAGTTTAGATAACATGTCATTGATGTTTCAAAAAAAGAAAGAAGAGAAAAGCGCTGAAGATGGAAAAGATTTTGAAAAAACAGATGACACCAATAAAAAACCTGGGCATTACTTATTTCGAGAAAAGGTTTGTTATTGAATCTTATACTTTTTTTTAAAGTTATATAATAAATTTTTTTAACTCATTTGTTTTTTTATATAACGGTTTTATATAACGGTATTTAATTTTGAATAGTATTTTTCTTTCAAATCCGAAGAAAAAACCAAAAGAGAGCAAACATGGATAAGATTTAAGAACCAAGACAACAAAGATAATGCAAATGAGAGTGCTAACTATATGCAATCATCTTCTACAGAATCACCTATAGAAAATTTACTCAGTGAAAAATCTTCAGATTATAATGCTAATAAACCACAATGAATTGATAGTGGTATTTATATTGCAGTTAAAAGGAAAATATATTAAATTCATAAATTATTTATCGATTCTATTTTTAGAACTGTTATATAGAAATTTTAAAGGAGTATAATGAATTCTTAATTAATTATTATTAATAAAAAAGGTTAAAGAATTTTATTTATGTTGTCCGGTTCTTTTTTTTTTTTTTTTTTTTTTTTTTTTTACAAAAAAAATTTTCGAAAAAAAAAAAAAAAAAAAAAAAAATTCAAAAAAAATAAAAAAAAACAAAAACAGAAATAAAAAAACC